TAGGAATGTTAGAAACAGTAAAATATACAGTGTTTTTTTTCCTTAATACATCCCCTATGGGGAACCTTCTAGCCCCAATCCTATCTAGTTGGGAATGGGTGAGAGGTGAATGACACTTTGTTTCACTCAAAGAATCAGCCAGAGGCAGAATCACTTTATGACTTTGCTATGTTAGTTGAATCTCCCTTACTAGGATCTCTAAAAGGGTTTTTCCTATGCAACTTCAACTACAACCAGACATAATAAAAAGCCTCTGTGAGATTGACTGTCTCTTCCAATTCTGTGTTTCCCCATCATACTGGTGTATACTGAGGTTTAGTTTAGAAACAAAAAGACAAAAAAAAAGCAACCTTGAGGAGATGCCTTCCCTCCCTTCCCCTCATCCTCACAACTTCATGAATGGTATATTTGTGGATCTGAGCTTCCTAGGGGAAACCTAGTGAATTTAACCTTCTTAATAGTCAACTCTTTATATGAAGAATAGTGAATTATTAGATTTACCAATTACAATTTGAATGTTTTCAAGAAATTAAAAATATTAATATGAGAAGAGACTTTGGATTGTATGTAAAATAACCAAGATATTCCTGATAGGAACAAGTTACCTTAAAACTGGCATTTGAAAAACAAAGAAAACAAAATAATAACATGCAATTAAATTGGATTCCAAAATCACTAAACTGGTCATCTTGTTAAAGTGGCAGTCGAAGCTCATTACTGAACACAAATTTTGATGAACCAGCAAGAACACTGTTCAGACTCCACTTAACTCATTGCTAATTAGTTCCTGGCTTTCTTCCCATACTGGGGTCTGATGATTCCAGGTTTCCTATTGTGTCTGTTTAAGCAACCCCTTTTATTTTCATGTTAGTGATTCGAAAGGAAAGTTTTCTGGTTTTCAAGGTAGAATTCACTCAGCTGATTGGCCTATGTGGATGGATATTGTAAGAAGCGATCCTTTCCCCTCTGTTGTAATTATAAGGCCTTTTGATAGGTTGGAGGAGGTTATCTTTTTTTTTATTGAGAGCAAAATTTCAGTGTGACTCTTGTTTTTGCTCCTTTGTCTTCTGTCAAGTCTGACTTTTAACATTGGGAATATTATTATGAGATATTTAGATATTTCAAAGCAAAGTTCTTTTTCTCAATGGGTCCTGGCTTACAAAGTTAGATAGGCAACTGGAGAACTGTTGCCAGAAATGCAGTTTCCTCATTGATCTTTCATCCTTTAGTCTTTTTTCTACTGGGTTACTAACCTACATTCTACTTTCCCTTTTAAAGAAAGAATCCAAGATGGAATATTTCTTTGCAGAGGAAAATATCTTGGAAAAATTGGAAAAGTGAAGAACTGGATCTAGACGAGCTAATATAAAACTGAGGCTTTTTCTTTGTGATAGCAACATCCATAGGATAATTTTTTAAAAAAATCAAATACCTGTGTATCTTTTTGGTGTTATATACAACATCTATTTTGACATAATCAGATTTTTTTTTGTTTTCATCCAAATATTTGTTGTCGTGTATAGCCTAAGAAATGAAAGGTAAATTTTGGCAAAATTATCTTAGATTATGGTAATAAATTTATGACAGAGGCTGAGTAACCACTGAAGCACCCAGGCTTTGTCTAAAAAAAGAGAAAGAAATAAATTACTAAAGGAGAAAAAAGAAAAAAATAATGTGTGATGGACTGAGATGTTTCCTATAACCGATTAAAGTTCTTATGATATCACTAGGTACATGAATGTATTTTTTATTTTTAACTGCATGTATATTTAATTTGACTCCAGTTTGTATCAGTCTATCTTTGTAAGTGTTACTCACAAGGAAACTTAATAACTTTGACAGTCAATGATGTATTTTTCTCTAAAATATTATTTTGACAACACAAGGTTTGACCTTTTTATTTGATTTTCCTAATCGTGTTTTCCAGTTTAGCTAAGATTATAGATTTGTCTTAAGTCAGTTCAGCCCTGACTTTACTTGGTTTATTAGTAAAATTTAAATCACACACAAAAAAAGTTAACGCTTTCATATAGACCTTGATAGTTTAAAACCTGCACTTACTGAAACAGGAGGTCAGTAGGATAATAATATTTTGAGGGTAAGTTTAATTAGGGAGTTCATAGAAAAGTTTGATAGGAACATAATCCAAATAAATATTTTGATATTAAAAACTGTTAATGAGTCCAGGGCTAAAATTTAAGGTCATGATAAGTGTTCTCTCCACATTTAGACTATGAGTAGAAAATTGAGTCATTTTGAGTGTTCATACAAATGTTTATATTTACATACTTTTATTATCAGTACTATTGCAAATTCCATGTTAGCAGATCACATTGAATATCTCAGTACTTCACACAATACCCTATTTTTCTTTTCTTTTTCCATCAGTAATTTATTTTTCTCTTTCAGACTAATGCTTGGTGCTTCAATGGTTAGGCCACCTGTGTCATATATTTATTATCCTAACTGAAAAACAATTATGTCAAAATATCCCATTCATTCCTTATGTTTTCCACAATAGCAAATGTTTGGATGAAAACTGAAAAAAAATCTAGATATGTAGATGCTTGAGAGGCTAAATAAGTTATGCATGTTTTCACCATTATTGCACTTCTGAAGGTTTGGCATTCATACACAAGTTGTTCCTTGTTATGATAATAAAACTGTAATCATCCATCAGTCTTGTGCTTGATGTTACATATCTAACCAAATAGTCTGACCATTAATTGGTCCTTCATATTTTAATACTTTTCTGAATACATGCTTTCAATGATGTCAATATTTCTCCACTGAGTTAGAACACAGAAGATTCCAAACCCGGAATACTTTCTCATCCTATGCAGTCCTCATCCGGGTCTGTCATGAACCCACACACAACAACGATGACCTGGCTCCAGGAACACTTCTCATATATACCTTCTCTTTTCCCATGTTCCAGGTTTTTTGTATTTTAAAATTTTCTCTAATAACTCAATGGTCTGACTGTACTCAGAAAATTGATTGGTAAATGACTCACACAGTATTGAGTCATTCCTGATAAAAATACAAGTTTATAATTCAATATATTACTTGTCAGTTACCATGTTTAGCAATTCTGATTCCTATTATGTAGGTCTAAGAACTTTGGCAATGTGCAAGTTTTTGGTTTATCTTATTTCTTAAACCTGACCCCTCTGCATTTCACCAAAGTCATATTAAATGTTGTTTTAGTTTGGAGGACCTAGCTTAGGTCTTTGTAAAATTTCTCTAGCTCCTCATCCTATACAAACAATGTTGGTACCCAAAGTATAATTATTTCCATGGTGGCCTTTTTACAAATACTTATGATAAGAACTATAATTTGAAGTGACCAAATATCCTATGAAATGATATTACCTTTTGATGCATGGTAATAATTAAATAAATACAAAGATAACAATAACTAAATGAAACTTATTCCAAGTCCTTTATTTATTTATCCAATGAGATTCTGTAAGCCATCCTGCCATTTATTTGCAATTTCTTTATGTCTTCTGGTTTTGCTTAAAGCAAAAAATTCAGTCCCTTCAGCAGATAGCCACTGGACATGGATCTTATAGTTAGAGCACTAACAGTTAAGTTAATGTTTATAGTCTAAGAACTGTGTGATTCCTCTGTGTGGTGTATGTGTGTGTGTGTGTGTGTGTGTGTGTGTGTGTGTGCATGCGTGCATGCACATGAGCATATATTATTTGTACATAATTTCATTACTGGGACTTGAGTCCCAGGGCAGCTATGTTTTGCCTTTCTTGTATCCCAAGTGCTCAGGACAGAATGTGGAACATAGTAGGTGCTTAAAACTTGCTTATTGGCTGACTGATTCTTATTAGCCTCTGCTGCTTTTCTACCATTTTGCCACTATCATTGCCAAAGCAAGCAGAAAAAACAAAAACAAAAACAAAAAACACCCCACACTGAAGGCCATTCTGTATTTTCTTTCTTTCAAGACCTGCACCATGAAAATCTTTATTATCTATACTTTTCAGCTATTCAATTGTAAAGGTGTGTTTTGCTGTGTTTTTATGTCAGAGGCAGCATGACAAAATTAATAGAGAGCTGACCTTGGAGGTAAGAAAACATAAAGATGCTTAAGGCCTGCATCTGACACATCCTGGCTGTGAAACCCTCCTCTTGATACTTAACCTCTCAGTGCCCCAGGCAACTCTCTAAAAATAAGAATTGCCGAGAAAGTTGTCAACCTGAACTTCCATGGAGTCTCCTCACTAGGAATTTCCTTGAACCAATGAAATCAATAGTCCAATCCCTAGCCTTATCACAAATTGCCTAGGCCAGCCTACTGGTGATAAGCCTCTCTGTACTTAGATTGGTCTACAAAACAAACAAACAAACAAACGGGACTAATCTGTTACTGGGACAGTATTAGAAGAACTTCCAGCATGGTAGAAGCTGCCAGAGTTGGTGACTCACTGCTACACCTTTAAGAAGCCAGTTTCACCTCCATACTAGGATGAGCTATTGAGGTAAAAATTTGCAGATAAAATGCATTTCTTCCAAAATTTCAAGTATGTGATTATGGGGAAAGAAACACTAATCATAGATGGTATGATTTTTAAAGAAATTGGCTGCCTTTCTCTGTACTGATCATTGATTTGTTATGTAATATATATTTCTTTCCATTAAAGGGATAAGGAACTTTTCAGCAATGACTTTGCCTGCATAATTAAGATTTCAAAGCAAAGAGAAAATAAAGGAAGAGAACAGGGGAATCAGTGAGCCAGAAAGGGAGAAATAAATAGGGGTGAGAGATACAAGTGAGGGGCAAGTTAGTAAATGTGGATGGTAATAAGCTAATGGAAAAAGTCAGTCCAAGTGCTCTATTTATAAAATTAAATTCTAAAGCAACCTCTCAGCTGATCTTAGTTGGTGTAGGCTGTCACTGCAAGAAAATAGAGGGCCAATATTGAGAATTTTTCACCATAGTTTTTTTTTTAAATTGAGTTCTACCCAGTCATGTGTCTTCTAGAAGCCAAGGAATGGGATCACCAATGCTGCCAGATGTGATCTTGTATCAAGAGGTATCCTATTTGAATTTACCTGTCTATAGAAAAGAAAAGTCATATTAACATATAACTGCAAGAAGTAGATTTTATTGTTTAAAAAGTCTCATTAAACTAATCACACCTTTTTTAGTTGTTATTATCTAAGCGTGACAGCACAAAAACCACATAGAAAAATTATGCCAAATTGGGTGGAAGAGTAGAGCAAAAGAACTCTACTAATGTTTACATATGTAATGTTCTTATATCTAGATATATGCACATTTGCACAAGTATGCTTGGACATTCTTATACCTTCCATAAAATGGACATATATTTCATATATGGACATATGCACCTCTATGTATATGTCAGGCACTATGTTAGATAGAAGAGATATGAATGAGGTAAAATGAGTCCTGCTCTTAAGGAACTTATATTCTATTAGAAGGATACAATGTGTGTATAGTAGAGCAATTACAAAATATAAACAAAATAAGTACCAAATTCTTATACAGGAGAAAACCAAGAATTAGGGAAATTTAAGGAATGCATCCTTTTTTATTACATTTTGAGTTCTTAGTTGTCTCTTTACCTCCTTCCCTCCCTTCCACCCTGCACTAGAAAAGACCAACATTATATATATATATATATATATACACACATATATAATGTGTTTGTGTATGTATGTATACACATACCCATACATATGCATATATACACACACATACATATACATATATAAATATATGTGTATATATGTATATACATGTGTGTGTGTGTGTGTGTGTATATATATATATATATATATATATATTGTGGAACCATACCACATATACTTCCATATATTAGTTCTTTTTCTGGATTTGGATAGCATCTTCCTTCATAGGTCTTTTGTAGTTGATTTAAATATTCATGTTATTCAGAATAACTTAGTCATTCACAGTTACTCTTTAAACAATATTGTTATTACTGTATATATATTATCTTCGTTCTGTGCATTTCACATGTCAGTATGTCATGCAATCTTTCCATGTTTTTCTAAAATCAACCTGCTTATCATTTCTTATAGCACAGTAGTATTCCATCGCAATCACATACCATGACTTATTCAGCCATTCCTCCATTGATGAACATCCCCTCAATTTCCAGTTCTTTGCCACTAAAAAGAGAGTTTCTATAAATAATTTAGAACACATAGGTTCTTTTCCTTTTTCCTGGATCACCTTGGGTAACAGACCTAATAGTGGTATTGTGGAAATGCATCTTAAAGTAAATAGTGCTTGAGGTTAGCCTTCAAAGGAGGTGCAGATTCCAGGATATAGAGATGAGAAGGGAGAACATTCCAGGGATGAGAGATATAGCCTGTACAAAAGAAAAGGAATATCTTATATGAGAAATAACAAACAGGGCAGTTTACCTGAAGGTAAAATATACAAAGGAAATTAATGTGAAATCAGCCTAGAAATATATATATATATATATATACATATATATATTTACATATATAATATATGTATGTATGTACTTATCTATATGTGTGTGTATGCATATGTGTATATGTGAACCTACTCTTTAAAATGGATAGACCGTTAGAAGAAGAACTGTGTATGTACATTACATACATTGCATATCTATGTGTATATATGTACATCTGTTTAGGGAGACACTCCCCAAAGTAGGTAGAGTATTAGAAAAAATAATATCACATACACAGCTACAATATTATATACATTATATTATATTATATATACAATATTATATACAAAGCTTGCTTTCACTATATAATTAAACATGTTAATACGATTAATTATCCATTATAATTATTAATTTAATCTTAATATAATTAAATAACATTTAAACGTTGCAAAAGGCAAAAGCAAATAATCTTTCCTACTAAACTTGTTGTTCTTTTTTTTTTCTTTAGGAAACTTGCTTTCAGACCTAAATTGTAAAATGTCACAAGTTATTGTTTGCATGGCATCAGCAGCATTGCAACCAAACTGTCAACATTTATTCTAGGAGTTCCTTTCTGTAGCTGTTACATTCCAATTTGGAAAAGCATTTTAGATAATCTGGGAATGCATATTAAATAAATCAATTAAAAGGTCCAGAAAACCAGGATCTTTCTTAAAGTTAAAAATATGTAGTAATTATTGACTAGTAGTCTAGGAGACTTTGTATAAACTGAATATAAATTAAAATACCTCTAACTATTGGGAGATAATAGGATGCCCTCTGTAATAATTTTTTTCTTTCCCCTGGGCCAGGAATAAAGTTTTATGTAGGAAAGGTTAAAAAAAGAAAAAAAACTCTAAGTGTTCATTTTATAAAGCATTGCTATTATTGTCTTGTCCAGATCAGGATATTTCCATTCATTTCTTATCATTATCATGGCATTTTGTAGTTAGGAATTTTATGATAAGAAAACAGACTGAAGAGCTATTTAGCTGTTCTCAGTAGTTACTTTTAAAAAAGCAAGCAGCATTTTTAAGATGAATTATTTTATTTCTTTCATAAAAACAGTGAAGATGTCCACAACGAAGACTCAGTAGTTACTGTTCAGAAGCACTGGAAAAGCATTACAGAGACTTATTTGGCTAGACTAAGCTGAACAAAGCAAAAAGTACATTGTAGAGTGAGTTCTAAGCATGCATTACTTGCCTTTCTGTTCTTGAATTAATCTTAACCCTTCCAAACCTATTTGACTTCATGAAGAAGGTCTTACAACACAAAACAGTAGAAAGCATCACCAGTCGCTCATAAGCACAGAGAAGATAAGAAAAATTTTGTCCCCTCTTCCAATACATCTTCAGACTAGCCTGCAAGGATCTAGTCAGGCTCCAACCATCATCAATCAACCACCACCATCGACTAGTGACCATTTAAAAACACTGCCCATCTAAATTCTAGTTCATTGCATGCTAATTGTTTTTTCTTACTTGTGGACTGGTAGGGCAGTATTTGATCCAATAAGCATATTAGGTGTCTACTGTGTAAAAGTCAATGGGAACAAAAAGATAAAGACAAACCAGTGCCTGTCCTAAAGGAGCTTACGTTCTGCTAGAAAAAAACAACATGCACGCCCACAGTTAAATACATACAAAATATAAACATAGTAAATAATAAGTAATTTGTGAAGATTAAATTGACAGACTCAACAAGTGAATACAGGAGCAAGATAGAGAAAATAAAAAGCCAAGAATACCTCAAAGGGATGGTGGTGCCTTTGAAGGATATAAGGGAGTAAGGACAATGGATGAATTGAGTTAAGGAAGAAGATTTCTTTTTTGAACTTGTTGAATTTGAGATGCCTGTAGGAAAATCAGGTGGAGATGTTCAGCAGAAAGTTTATGCAGGATTGCAGCTGAGGGGGAGACAGCACTGAATGTTTATAGGAATTATCTGCATAGAGTAGGGAGGGAACAAGCATTTATTAAGTGCCTACTATGTGCCAGGCATAAGTGCTTTACAGATATTATCTCATTTGATCCTCATAACAACCTTGGGAAGTAGGTCCTATTATTATCCTCATTTTATAGTTGAGGAAACAGAGACAGAGAAGTTAAGTGATTTGTGCAGGATCACACAATTAGTAAATATCTGAGGCCAATTTTGAACTCAGTCTTTCCTAACTCCAGATCCAGAGTTCTATCCAATTTGCCACCTATCATGTGAATCCATAATGACATTCCCAGAAAACATAGCATCTAGGACTATCCAGGACTACCACACAAAGGAATTAGTCATGGCTAATGATCAGGTCAATCAGTCAATCAATTAATCAACAAGCATTTATTAAGCACCTATAACATGGTCCTGGGGATAAACAAAAACAAAAATGAAAACATCTTGCCCACAATAAACTTTCATTTTATTAGGGAAATTGGCATATACATAAATAGGGATATACAAAATATTTTCTGGAGGGCAAGGCATTAGCAACTGAAAGAATTAAAGATTTCATATAGAAGTTAGTGCAAAGAAGGCTGAGAACAAAGTACAAAGCCAAATAGGAAAAAATCAAAAAGAATGCTGCTTTAGGACATTTTAGAAGGAGAGCAGGAAGAGATAACCACCAACATTCTCAGGAGCTGCAAGAATGATGAGGACTGAGAAAAGGCCATTGGGCAGTTAGTAGAGCATTAGTAACCTTGACAGGAACAGTTTCAATTGAATGGTTAGGTTGGAAGCCAGGCTGGGAAATGAGTGGATAGTGAGGAAGTAGAAGCAATGAGTACATGCAGCTTTTTTATCCCTAGGAGTTTGGGAGCAAAAGGAAGGAGAAATAAATCAAATGGCCTGGGTTCGGGAATGTGCTAGAGACAGCTTTAACCACTCATGAGAGCCATTTGTTAAATTTTCATTGTGAGCATTTACCCCTGAAAATTGGCAAATGCTACACATCAGTACCTGATTTATTGTTTTGTTGATTGTCTAGACATAACAAAGTGATTATGAAAGTGTTAATAATGCAGACTAAACTTAAAAATCTGTCATGTGTAGATTTTTTCCAGAGAGCCAAAAGTTTGGCTACATTTTCTAGCATACCCCTACCTTAATGCAAATCCTGGCTCTCCTGCTTCTTATCTTTGTGAACCTGGGTAAGTCAAGTTACTTTTCTGGCCTTGGTTTTCTCATCTAGGAAAAGGGAGTTGGACTAGATTACCTTGTAGTTCCCTTCCTTTTCTAAATCTGTGATACCATGATAAGAAATTTCTTCCCTTTTTACTATTTTCACTAGTGGAAAAATCAGGATTATAAGATTAAAGCTAGAAGGGACAGAAGCCAAGAGACCATTTAGTTCAAGATCCTCATTTTATAGAAAAAAATAAGGCCCATTCTGAAATTTAGCAACGTAAAATAGCAGAACTGGCATTTGAATGATTAAAGGTATGAAAGGTAATTTGAGCAAGATATCTCTACCATATTTAATACTTTTATAATGTAAATAGGAAATGGATGTTGAATCTTTTAAACTTAAAACTCACATATCCCGGGAGCAAAACTATACAATTTGTTCTTGACTGACAAGATAATTTTATTTAAGAAAACATGTTGA